AAGGGAGGGGGGGGGAGAGAGAGAGAGAGAGAGAGAGAGAGAGAGAGAGAGAGAGAGGAGAGAGAGAGAGGAGAGAGAGAGAGAGAGAGAGAGAGTGTGTGTGTGTGTGTGTGTGTGTGTGTGTGTGTGTGGTTAAACATGAACTACAGATACTGGAGAGCTGGAGAGCCAGACAGAGACACAGAGAGATAGAAACAGAGATTTAGAGCGGGAGGAGAGACAGACATATATACAGATGACAGGGTGACAAAGAGAGACAGATAGCACAGAAAGAGAGAAAGCAACAGAGAGAGACTGAACAGAGAGAAAAGGAGGATTGCATTCACATAGACATGTTCTCAGTTCCTGGGAGGGAGCAATCCTGTGGCCCTTTAAGGAACTATGTGCCTCCAGGAGACTTTGATGAGATCCAAGTACTGATGCATTAGGAGGCAGCCTAGGTCAGGCCACTGGCCATGATTAAGTTTGAGTGAGAAGTCCTCGAGTTTGCACTTGGTGTCTAGGGGCTCAGAGCATCTGGTTCTGGACTATGAGTCGCATTTCTAAGGGATAAGACGTTTGCTCCCTAAGGCCAATTCAGCAGCAGCCATCGAGTAGAAGCTGCACACTGCTCTGGGCCGCTGTGAGGCCCACAGCTCTCCCATAGCAGGTCTGGGATGTGAATTATTGACGACTGCTTCTCCAGGCATGGCACTTCTAAGAAGAAAATAACAACGGAAGCACACTATGCAATTACTTTCATTTTGAAGTGTGTGGGAGAATGTGACATTTTACTTTTTAATCCAATATTTACCAAGAAAAAACCAAGTTTTGTTTATTAAACCCACTTCACTATACAGCCAAAGGAGAGCAGAAAAGGAGTCCCACTTCCACAGAATTTAGAGCAGGAAAGGAAATTCTGAAGCAATTTAGAACAACTCCCTCACTAACAAAGAAACTGAGGCTCAAAGAAGGGAAGGGGCTTGCCTAGGGCTGCACGTCGTGGCCAATGTTCTTCCCACTACCTTGAACTGGTGTTTCTAAACAGCTAACTTTTTATTTTACCTCATTGATTTATTTATTTTGGAGGAGGGGAGGCAACTGGCTTAAGTGACTTGCCCAGGATCACAGAGCTACTAAGTATCAGAAGCTGGATTTGAACTCAGGTCTTAGACCCCAGTGCTCTATCAACTTTGCCACCTCCTGCCCCACCAGTTAACTTTTTTTTTTTGGCTAGGCAAGGGGGTTAAGTGACTTGCCCAGGGTCACACAGCTAGTCTGAGGCCATATTTGAACTCAGGTCCTCCTGAATCCAGGGCTGGTGCTCTATCTACTGTGCCACCTAGCTGCCCCAACCAGTTAACTTTTTAACAAATGCCACTTGTGGCAGAGTGAGCACACCTTCCTCTACTTCCTACCTGGGTGACCCTGGACAAGTCACTTAAGCTTTCAGATAATCTTCTGGTTCTTAATTCCTTGACATCAACTTACTAAACCCCAAACAAGATGCAAATCTCATCCTACTCTGGTTTCAAGGTAGCCCCTCTGCCTGTGTGGGTAATATTAGCTCTGTACTTCCTAGTAGCCATAAAAGGAAATTATGGAAAATAAATGCAAAATTGATGGATGAAAACTCACCAACAACAGGGCTAGTACAAGGAGCTATGCAGATTATTAGAAGGCATTGAGCAGCTGTAAGAAAAAAATCTACACAAGGCTGGTAAGTCTCAATTGTGTGACAATTGGTGGGCAGAGGAGACAATAACAGTCTCTAATTTCTGGACAACTTCCTACTGCAGATAATTTCCTAGCCCAAACACATTTCTATCGGCGCCACTCAAAACCCTTCACAAGAACTGTGCACTGAAAAGACAGAACTCTGCGTTGTCTTATCTATTTCATAAACAATTAAAAAGAGCAAACCCACCTGAAGATAACCTCCTTTTCATGTTCCTGTATATTTTCAGTTGCCATTGTACTAGACAGAAAATGCTACACTCAGTTCCTGAAAATGAACCTTGTCACATTTAGCATGAGAACAGCATCTGATCTTGCAGCATTACAAACAAAAGGAAAAACGTTGTGGTTGTTTTTCATGATTATCAGAAACAAACAGCATAATTTTAATTAACTCAGCATCATTAAGAGAGGCCTATCTCTTATTCTACCAAAAAGAAAAAGAAAATCAAGCTCACTGAACACTAAATTAATCTATCCTTGGGCTTCATTACAACAAAATGAAATATTCATGAAGAAGTAAAGGGCTGGATTATTGATGAACAAATGGCATTTGAGAAGATGAATGTCATGCAGGCTAATGGCTTTTTCTCAATAGGATCCCTTATATTAAATTAATCCAATCATTTCTTTATAATGCCGTCTGAATAATCCCCAATGTCACTCCGTTGTTCAGAAATCTTCAGTGGCTCCCCCTTGCCTATTAAGTTCAGACCCCGATGATGGATGTTCCAGGTCCTCCAGTCTGACATCTGTCTACCTTTTCAGCTTTCTCCCATACTATTGTTACCCAGCACGTCTGTGCTCCACAAGCCTGGACTGTTTTCTGCCCCCAGCTATAGTCCTGGTGCTCTCACCCCTCTGTGCCTTGGCTTACACTGCTCTCCATGCCTGGGACAGCTTGCTTTTCCCTCTTAATCTACCGGCTTCCTACCCATCCTTTAAAGTCCAATTGAAACGTCAGCCCGTATCATGAAGGCAGCCCATGATACCCACTGCCAGGGCTGATCTTTCCCCTCTGACTTCACTCAGGGGTCCTAATGCACTTATCTAATGTAACCTCCATATGGTCAGGATTTTCTTTTTCTTTGGATTTTCCTCTCTAGGCTAGAGAAAAGCAGGATGAATGCCAAGGTGATTTGCCTAGGCCATTTAATATAAAAGCAGTTACCGAAAGTTGCTCTCATGTCACACTTTGAGGGAGGGCATTTGAAAAAAGGGTCACTGTGCTTTACAGTAAAGGGAAGACATCAGGGATTTAGAAGAGGTTGGAAGCTGGGAGGTGAGCTCAGCTGGGGATAAGGGGCTAGCTTGGTTTATTTTTTCAATCTGATTAGGGAGCCCCACCCAGACAATACCAGATGAAACACAACGAAATATTCCAGATACCTGTAGGAAAAGATGCCAGAAATGGCCCCTGAGCTGGTGATGAGCTATTGCAGCACTGAACTGAAGAGCTTTTGCCTGTCTAGCTGCTTCGGAGAAGTGAGAAGCTTTCTTCTTTCCCCAGGAGACCTTAAAAATTAATTCCTGGAGAAGGCTTCCCTAAAAAGCCATTTGGGTGCATCTGGGAAGCACTAGGCACAGAACCTTGAGTGGGGGAAGTTTTAGATTTCAGATACATTAGTAGTGCCACTCCAGAGCTCAGAGTTTTAAAGCCAACATTGCTAATTTTATTTTCATCACAGTAAGGAGACCAGGGAAACTCACATGCTGCCCAGGAAGCATCCTCATTGCTCTGGAGGTCTGATTCTGTACTGTTTATTTTAATTTTGCTTTATTAAAATGTATTCACATCTACATCGAGCAAGGAATCCTTTAAAATCATGTAAAAACTCTCTGGGAAAGAGATTCAAATCTCCATGAGGTGGGGGCTGAGCCATGAGAGATTTATTGGTTACTGCAGATATTTATACTCCTTGACAGAAACCCAAGTTGAAGTAATAAAAGGAAAGGCCAGGAGCCATGGGATCTAGGTAGGTTTGATCCAAACACATGCAATGGGACTCCAGGCTTAGAGTTACTCAAGGCAATAACCCAGGGCTTGGCACACCATCAGGCAGCCTATAGCTGTATATAATGCCCTGAGTATTCCAGAAAAATGTAGTGCCAATGAAAAACAAGAACTCTTGTTGATGGGAAGCAGCCTCTTCCCCCTTTCACTCGTGTATCACATTTGTCTGTGTTGACTGATATCTTCTCCTATTAGCCTGTGAGCTCAGTAAGAGCAGGGCTTGAGTTTTGTTCAACCTTTTTATCTCCTACGGGACTTCTATACTGCAGGAGCTTCATAAATATTTCTTAAATGAATTTAAAATGACTGGATTTTAAACTTCTCCAAAGTCTAATACCAGTCTGGGATAATAGAAGATTTCCAATAATACAAAGCCTCCAGCCCACAAGCCTTATGATATGAACTGAGACTAAGAGTCTCTGAGCAGCAATTCTCCCCCTGTTCCATAACTGCAGAATTATGAGGGGAAGAGGATGGAAACAAAGAGAAGAAGACAGGATGCAGTAATGCCCAAAGCCTAGAAAATCAAGGTCCTCTCCCAGAGAAAACAACTGAAGTCCTTAATACTTAGAGTCCTACTGATCTTTTCAGACAAAACCAACCCAAGGATATTTTTGTTTCTTAAGGGGAAGGTTCATTATTGTTTTCAACAAATACTATCTGGAAGGCAAACAGATCCAGCAGCTGAGGGTGAGGTCCTAGGAGATGGAAGCCAGGAATAACCTTTCTGACAGCACAACAGGAAAACATTCATTTAAATCTAAGAAGGAAATTTAAAGCTGTTTTCCTACACCACATATTTTTAAACTAAATAACTGACAGCTAATATTCATAAAAGAAATATGGAAATCAAGAATAAATATGGGAGTATTTTGATTCAAATTCATCTTGAGAAGTTTAAATAATAACAGAAAAGGGAATATATGTGTTCAGAGCTGCTTGTATTCTTTAAATGAAATTTTAGGAAGGGAGCCAGGTGTAACAGAATGAGCAATGGATTTGGACTCAGAACAACTGGGTTCAAATCCCTGCTTAGCTATTTATCACCCAGATTACGTTGGATATTTAACTTCTCTGACTGTCAGTAAAAATGAGGGGGTTAGACTAGACGATCTCTAAGGACCCTTCCAACTTTAAAATCCTGTGAAAATAAGAAGAGGAAAAAAAAAAGATTTAAAATCAGAATTACGCATGAAAGATCTAGGAAAATGAAGTCCAGTGCAAATACAGCTAATTGTGGGATATAAACAGTAATACTATAGCACTTATGTAGAATATGCCCATTTTTATGTTTTTGTCAAAGGTTTTTAAATTCCATGCTTTGGATACAATTAATTTTGCCGTGGCTCACAACAGTATACAGTGCATGTTTAGATACTTGACATTTTATCTACTGTACAAAGCAAACTCCTATGGCAACATTAACTACTAACAGGAAGAACTAATGAAAAGCCAGAATTGTGAGCTAAAACCTCAGAAATACTGAAGTCATGTTTAAGTAAAACATTGGAAATATATGTAATTTCACAGACCAAGTTATTCTTCCTGTTAAGTCATCTCACACTAATTAAACCCTCAATAATAAACTGACATTCCTCCTGAAAACAACGATGTGTAAACCAAATCATCGTCATCATAATGAGGACAAAGGATGTACTGGTCAAGTCATTCCAAGGCTTTAGTTAATGTTTTGTTTCTAAGGAAGTTTTAATCACACAAAAGACACAAAGTTCTGGCCAAACTTTTTGGGTGCCTTAGCTAGCAGTCTGAGTGAGAATAGGCTGACTTCTTTAGATATGGCTCCAAAGTGCACTTCACTTGGGCATGTGTTTTTCAGAGTCTTCTTCTGACCACAGGACAAGGCACAGAATGATGCATTTCTTCTCACTCTCCCAGCTAGAAAACAGAGTGATTGTTCACAGCCACCTCCGCAGAAACGGTTGGTAAGGAGTGGTGGTCAGGAGCCCCAAAAAAGGCTTAGTCTCCATCATCATCACTGCTGTCAAAAGCAATGGCATAAAATGTGCTTTCCTCAGCCTTCAGGATACTAGGGCTGCCCGAGTTGTCAGAATTGAGATCACTGAACCACTTCATCTGCGTATCCCACTCAGTGCTGTTTGGAGAGGGAGAAGAGTAATCGCAGAGGAAGAAGCTGTTTGCTGCTTTGTGGGGGCTAGCTGCCCTTTCCTCCTTCTCTGCCCTTCCTCTTCTTTTCACTACAGGCTCTACAGTTTTGTAGGGATACAGAAAGGGCAAGGGTTCCCTGGGCTTCTCCACTTGATCCAGAAACACATCTTGTTGCCCAGAGGCTGCAGACTGGGGATACCCGACTCTTGAGCTGAAAGTAGAGGTATTTCTTGAAAGGCCTGAACTCTTCCTTCTTATGAATGTGCCTCTTCGGACTTTCCTGGGCTTTTCCCTCTTTGCTCTTTTTCTCACATCTATACTCCCGCCTTTCTGTTCGAGCACGTTATTCTGACTGCGTGTGTCACTACAAAACAGAGCTGCGGGCTGATAATCTTGCAGGATACATGCGGGCCTGGCCTTCACAGTCACTGATGAAAATGGAGATGTTTCTTGAGCCATCGAGTCTCTTTTGCAGTGATCCCTGTAAATCTTGCTACTAGAGTCATGGTTCTCAGACAACCTCTTAGCAGGAGCCTGAGCCTCTAAATCAGCCTGCACAGCTTCATCCTTTACACTCCGATTTTCTTTGTCAAGCCAAAAAGTAGCCGCGTTTCTATTGTGCTTATGAGTTTCATCTTCAGCTTCTTGCTTCTTAGTACTATATTTTTCATGTTGGTATAATGATATGAGGGGATTCAGGTGAGGAAGGAGCATGACAGTTTCACCTGTATCTGGTGATTCTGAGATTGGTTTCCCTTTCCTGGTGAGACCGGAGGCCTGGAATAGAGCTGGAAGGGTCTGAGAACCTCCATCACTCACATGGAAGGGTAACCGAGCTTCTGAACCAAGTGAATACATTTCAGCTAAGACTTTGGGGAAGTTGAGCTGATCTAATTGGTCACACAGCCTCTGCTGCTGTCTGCTCTGTTCGGCTGCTAGGACTTCAAGATGCTTCAGACTGGATTTCACATCTAAAAATTCTGCCTCTCTCTGGGGAAAGGCAGGCAAAGGAAAATCATTAGACAATCAGCATCAACAATCTGTGACAGACAAGTAGACAAACAGGGAGCGACAAAAACAAGAGCATTCAGTAAAAGGAAAGAAAGCTCCAGATGCAAATATTCAATCCCCATGATCTGGTATAAATAAATGCCTCATTCTAAAGAGATTTAGAGGGAAACAGACAACATTTCTTTGGGAAAGCAGGGCCCTGATGACATCTTTATAATCGATCTCACTAGTGAGCCAGAGCTCCATCTGAGATGGGGTTGAGGGAGGGACCCAGGGCCCAAGAGAGAGGATCCCAGCCCCATCACATTCCAGGACACTTCCAGCAATGTTAGACTCAGACAAGGAGAAGTAAACCCTTGGGTTACATCAGTTCAAATGGATCTGTTAGTTCATGAGCTCCTCAAGGGCAGGGCCTATGTCACTGTTCACCTGTGGCCATGGATCCAGGAGGTGCTTTACCAAGGGTTTGATTGGATCCAAGATCCTGACTTACAGTTTCAAGTTGCTTCTCCATCTCCAGGGCTCTCTGCTCCATTCTGTTTCTGTCTCGTAGAGCATCTAACAGTGAGTCACAGTGGGCTTGGGCACTCTCTTGCACTAAAAAAGGAATTTAATAAACACTACCCGTATCTTTCCTGGGGACACTGAAGACAGTTTGGTTTACAGTTCAACATGATTTCTACTTAAAACTTCTTGACAGGGCATCCTACTTTGACGTAGCAACTAAAGCATAGGATTTAGAGTCAGAGAAACCTTTAAAAAGTCCAGTTCAAGCCCTTCAGTTTATGAAGAAGGAAAAAAATTCCAGAGGGGGAAGTGACTTGACCAAGGTCATTTGGGTAGGATATAGCAACAGCAAGATTTGAGCCCAGAACTTCCTCCAGGTTGAATCCCCATGCTTCTGCATCTTTGCTCACACTGTTCCCTATGCCAAGAATGTCCTCCCCTTCCTCATTTTTGCCAACTGAATTTCTACCTGTCCTTTACAAGCCAACTCAAATGCTACCTTTTCTAGGGAACCACTCCTGATCTCCTGTCACTAATGACTTCCCATATCAGACTTCTCATACTATGTTGTAAGAGTATGTAGTACAATTGTTAATGTTGGTGTCTCACTGCCCTAACTAGATTATCAACTGCATGAGGGCAAGGATCTTGTTTCCCATTTCCCCAGTGTCTGAGCACAGTGTTCTGAGCATGGTGGGCATTTAACAAAGGTTTATTATCATTCTGACTCTAAGTCTGGAGCTTTTTATGGGCTCTAGAAATATGGCTTCTGCTAATTTCTGTGTGACCATGGGCAAGCCACTTAACCTGAGCCTCAATTTCTTTATCTGTAAAATGGGGATAATATCTAGACTCCTTACTTCACAGGGTCATTGGGAAGATCAAATGAGATAATACACGTGAAAAAGCATTTTGGAAAACTTAAAGCATTCTACCAATGGCAGTCATCAGCTACATTAGGCTGCCTTCCAGGGAAGAGGCTTTTAGAACAAAGGAAGGGTCAGCGCTCATCTCCTGAGGGAGTCTCAGATTGCTGAAGTATGACTTTTCCTTTCTCCTCAGACAGCCCATGTTTCTGAACACAGCAGAGGGAAGATCCCTTTGGGCCAAATAACAGGCGAGAGTGAGAAAACCAGCTCAGCCTGGGCACCCTCCCTCCTAGCAAAGTGATGGGGCCCATCTACCAAGCTTCTCTATACACAGCTCCATCTGTGTAGGTCAGAAACCTTCTTTGTCCTGATGGGTGCTTGGAGATAAGGAGGTGAGGACAAGAGCATGTATCCCCAAACACAGGGCTAGCAGACTCCTGGCCATTTCCCCTTGGCCCAGACACAAGCTATGATTTATTTATCTCTTTTGAAGCAAGGAAGGGATGGGAATCAATTCTCCTTCACTAAGTAGACCTGAGACATCACAGTAGAGGTCTCACTATTTGCTTTGAGACACATGATCTGACCTAGGCTGAACCTATACTTTAAATCTATCTGGGGTGAAGGAATATGGCTCAGCTGCCAGCTCCCACTTTACCTTTCTAGGAAGGTTTATAAAGCTACTAACACATATCTGAGTCACAGAATGTCAGAACTAGAAGCATTGTTACACATCACCTCTCGTCCCATCCTCTGCAAGTGTTGAATGTATATAACGTTTATGGGGGGGGTGAAGCCCTTGGTCACCCAGCTAAGTCATGGCAGAACCAAGTTTAGACACAAAAGATACAAACCCCAAATACATAAATCTAAAGATGACAGCATGGAGTGGATGAGAAAGCCCATTGGATTTGAAGTCAGAGAATCTAAGTGAAAATTGTAGCTCTACTGGATGACTTTGAAGAAGCCACAGCCCCCTCCCAAGGCCTCACACTCCTCATCTGTAAAACAAGGGGATGGACTAGATGGTTGCTAATACCCTTCCTAAGTCCTACCATGCTAAATCCTAAATCCAATTCTTCTTTCTCTCATCCTACTCAAGGCTTTCTTTCAAAGTAGAAAAGAAAAAGTCAGCCTAGAATGAGACTCTGCTTTAATCTTCCCTTCCCTCCCTCCTACCTCCCAGGGGAGAAGTAGAACTGCTCGCTTGTGGCTCAGGGACTAATTGTGCAGGCTGATAATGGGCTGGGGTCACTGCTTTTAAAATGAGTCGCACAGCTGCCTCAGTCAGATTAGCTTAAGAATTGGGTTAAACGCTAAACCTGCACAGAATCTCAAATGGTGCACCTGAACAGAGCATTCGAATGCTTAAAGCAAGGCCGTCATTGGCTGAGTATCATTAAAGCCCACGGAGTTTGATTCAGTGACACTCAAGGTGTGTGGCAGCCACACATTCCAGCTGAGAACAGTCATGCAAACCCCCCATTCTAAAATAAGGCCCTTTGTCTCCCTTCCTCATAGGCACACCAGGGAAGCTGTGAGCAGCCTGACCTGCAATTTATAATAAATGCTGGCTCTCCCACTGTCCATGAGCTGCTACCAGGCAGCCCTGCTGCCTCCCTTCCCTGCCCCTCCCAGCTGCCTCTATGTGCTGGGAATCACAGCATCTGAGAGCTGGAAGAGAGCTTAGACATCATTTCATTTAGCACAACCCTCTCATTTTATAGAGCAGCAAACTGAAGCCCAGGGAAATCACTCCTTCAGGCCATAAAAATGGAGGAAGACAGCAAAGGAATTAAAAGGCCTATGGGGCAGGCACCAGACAGTTCTCCTTCATACTTTATTTTCATTGATCTATAGACTCATAGAATGTCAGAGCCAGAAGGGATCTTAGACACTGGTCTGTAAAGGTTCAAGCAAAGACCACCTGACTGGGCCCTGGGCCCCAAAACACCAGCACCTTAGACACCAACCATGATGACCCTTCACAATGGGGGGGGGGATGCCCCATATTGTAGTAGCACAGGTGGAAAGTGATAGACTGGTCCTACCTGTGAATTCAGTGGAGTCCTATTAGAGGCCCCAGCCAACACTTCCCCAGGCCATGGCTAGCAGATCCAGACCGCCAGTCACAGGATCAGAAAGGATTCTACATGATCCCTGACCCCTGAAGGGAGCCTCCAAATACGTCTAGTCCAACCCCTTCATTTTACAGTGATGAAAGGGAAGACCAGACAGATGAAGTGATTTTTTGTTGTTATTTAGTCGTTTCAGTCATGTTCGACTCTTCCTGGACCCATTTTGGGTTTCCTTGGCAGAGATGCTAGAGTGGTTTGCCATTTCCTTCTCCTGCTCATTTTACAGATGAGGAAATAGGCCAACAGGGTGAAGTGACCCACTCAGGGTCACAGACTAGTAAGTGTCTGAGGTCACATTGGAACTCAGGTTTTCCTGACTCCAGCCCTACAGCTGCCCCATGGCAGAGGCGAGATTTGGTCCTCTATCCTCTGACACCAGATCCATTGTTCTGAGCCTCTCTAAGTGGTTTGGAGTTGCCTTCTCCTGTTGGGAGGAACTAATGAAATAATCTATGTAGTACACTTTGCAAACCTTCAAGTGCTCTGTAAGTGGTCGCTATCACTATTATCTCTGCCCACTCTCTTGTCCCAATTTGGCTCAATTTCCCCACTTCCCAGGCCCTGTACCTCAGTAGGGGATCTGCTGACTGCTTCTTCCTTTGCTATAATACAGTGATAAGACAGAGGGAGTGGAGCTGAATGTGGGTTCAATCAGGCCCCTGGGGCGCTCAATATCAGGCATTTGCTGACTCCCAACTTGTTGTCCTTCCCTCCTGATAGCTGAGAAAACAAACAGGTGCCTCTGCCTGTCAATCACAGGTCCCTCGAGCATCAGAGATCCAACCAAAGGCTCATCCTTCCCATACTGTGATGAGCAAACATTCACTTCCTCTCCTAATCCCTGTTTCAGGATACCTAGCTGCCTCAGTGAAGATCCAGGGCTCTTGCTGATACTTCCTCATTCCCATACATTTTGGCCTTAGGATTCCCAAGTGCCTCACCTGTTCTACCTGCTCCCTTTCAACTTGGCCTTTGGAACCCCCATTTTATTAAAACATTTCTCTTGTCAGAACTAGGCCCTGCCCAGAAGACACAGCACCCCAGGCTATTACTTTTATCTCCATGATGCAGAACTCTGGAATTCCTCTGCTTGTGATCAGGGATATTTCCATCTCTCCCTCTCTCCTCAATCTGCCCACATCCTGCTGCATCCTGCCTTGGGGCTTCCAGTCTTTAACCTCTCCCTGCTCTGTCCTTACACTCCTTGCTTTTAAGACCAGACCCAATAATTAAACAGATAACCCTAGGTTACCCCCACCATCTGCACTGTCTGTGCCAACTTGTGTGTTGCTGAATGCTGCTGGAGGAAGTTATACACTGGCATTGAATAAATGCTTGTTGATTGACTTGATGTGTATTGGGTCCGTAACAAACGTGTGTTTTCCAATCTCTGCTGGACCCTGGCCGCTGCACTGCAGTCCTTTTAGTCTTCTGATTGACTTGCTGTTGTACTACCCCCAGGAATGGTTTCATACCTCTTTTCTTCCCAAGCTCTCCAAGTCAGCCTTCCCCCGCTTTTCAGTGGAGGACTTTGAGAAAACTGAAGCCGCCCATCACCTAGTTCCTTTTCTCCCCCAGTCTACACCACAAAAACATAATAACTTCCCATTCTCACCTTTGCTCCTCAAGTCTCAGAGAGAGAGGTGGCCCTTCTCCTTGTCAAGGCCAGCCCCTCTATTTGTGCTCTGCAGTCTCCTATGGGAGCACTCCCTTCTCTCTATCGCTCCCTCTCTCCTGAGCTCATTTCCCATCTCTCCTTATCCACTGGATTCTTTTCTGAAGCCTTCGAATATGTCCAAGTGTCTCCCATCCTTTAAAAAATCCCTCCCTCAAGTGCTCATCCTATACCTTCCTTCCAAGGCCAAATCATAGAAACAGCCATTTACACTCCGCCTGCCTTCACTCCTTTTCTTCTCCTGCACTTCTCCACTCCTTACGTCTAGTTTCCTGCCCCACCACACAGCTGAACCTGTGTTCTCCTAGGTTACCAGGAACCTCAACTGCTGTGCACATCTGGTGACCTCTCTTCAGTTCTCCTCCTGCTGGAGTTCTCTGCAGCTTTCTGTACTGCTACCTGCCTGCC